TAGTAAGTTGGCAAACGCAACTCAGAGTAATTCACTAGATACATATGACACAAATGACTTGCACTAATGGACACTTGGCAGCCGGTGGCGATTATGGATCACATACAAGGTGTTTATTTTGAATGTAACAGTTTCGCTACTGTTTTTGTTTCATATTATATTGCTTATGTTTTTAGTATTTCATTTCATGTAATTTATTTTACCTTATCAGATCACTTAATTGGCCATGGTCTGTTTGGTTGAGAGCCGTTGGCGTTGGTCTAGGTTGCTGCTAAATTCGAACTCTTTTATGAGTAGTGCGGTATGTCAGCTATCACAGAGGAGGAGGCGGCTTTGTATGATCGACAGATACGGCTGTGGGGTTTAGAAGCCCAGTCCCGCCTGAAAAATGCTAAAATCTTACTGATTGGTGTATCTCCTGTCGCCTCAGAAATCATTAAGAACCTAGTCTTGGCTGGCATAAACACACTCACGATGGCCGATGACAAACTAGTGTCAAAGGAAGATATCGAATCCTGCTTTCTTTTTAAACCTTCACATCTGGGAAAAGAGGTTAACATTTGACATATTTTCATCGTCAGTTTTAGAGGAACCTGTGTGCATTAGAGCGAGTTCAGGTTTTAAATGCAATGGTAAAAGTTAACACGGACGCTTGTGTATGTCCTGCTGAACTAATGAAGAAATATGGCGAATACGATGAAGTTATAATATCGTATGAAGTCAATAGCAGCATTGTTTCCAATTGGTGTGAATGTATCAAACATATTTTCGCCGGAAATCCGAAACATCCCAAAGTACTGTGCGTGAACGCTCTTGGCATGCACGCCTTTGGTTTTACTGACCTTGGAAATTATTTTTACAAAGAGTTGGTCCGAGTCTTTGATTATTTATGTTCTAGGGACGATAAAGTTGCTATCAAACCTCTGCCCAACAAGGATTCTGCAAAACCAGTCGCGTCCAATGGTAACGAGGTTGTCAAGGTAAGACATTTCCTATTAATTTTGCATTATTTACTAAGTAAACTTCATGAAGGTTGCTCATGCATTGTTGACGATTATTCTTAACAAATTAGGCTAGTACGCAAAAAGGTGTTATACTTTCACTGTGCCTCGCTTTAAGTCCTCCATAATACAGTTTACTGTCATGTAGTTAAATAGTCCACCAGTTAGCATCTTGATTCCGTTCTATCTTACGCACTACAGTTATTAATTGCTTTTATTTTGGTATTCTAGCACGTCGTATATCCGCCTTTGGGAGACGTAATGAAATTGTCTTGGCCAGGCGATAATACCCTTAATACTCCCGCAAAAAAGATGCCCAAAGGATTTTATCTCTTACAAGGTAAGCTAAGAGTAAAATGTAAACGGATTTTTTCTCGGCTCGTCCGCCACCATCTCTTAATCTCCAATTCGCACGTTTTACTTAGCGTATCTACTGCAACTTCATTTGGTTTGGCAAATTATATCTGGTTTTCCTTGATGCTCTAGCCTTCAACTTTCCAAAATCGTAATTCACTTCTCGTTACAATCCAAATTCTTCGATACATCCAAGACAGCGGTCTCTTCGGCCTCCTTTTTCTTTATTTAGGTAGTATCTTTTTTAACAAGAAAAAGAAACATCATGTATCTTTTTATCCCCTTATAGCTCTTGAAAATCTTAAATCCTCACTAACTGCCGAGAATCTTCAATCTTCATGGGCCGAAACTTGCAAGCGTCTCGGCGTTGCTCAAGATCTCCTTAAGCAGGATGATTTCTCGTGAGTAAAGTCTCTTTCGTCTACATTCTGGTTCTGCACGTACTCTTGCTTATTGTTGTGCATTCCTGCTTATGACACTAAGTAATTTGCTGATCCTCAGAACATTAGACACCCAAATTCGTGTGATTATCGCACACGCGTCAACGCCATTGTGTTTATGCGTTCACCAATATACTTGAATCAGAACTATAATAGCTTGGGCCTGACCGCCTTTTTTGCTTTACCCCAAGGTGCATTCGAACACACTTTTGAAAGATGAGACGTAGGCAGTTCAACTTTCTTGTGCCTTAACCGAACCTCTCGTCTATCTTTCACTCCCCTTGCTGTATAGTGAACTGCTTTCCGGGTTGTTGTGCGGTGTATTTCATCACTTGCTCAAAAGTCGCGCATAATTCACTCATCAGAATAAGACGGTTAGGGGTTAGCCAGACGCGACAGAACTGACTCTGGCCAGGGCAACTGCAAAAACACGTTTGCACTATTTAAGAAGCAAGCGTTTTGTCCCTGTTGGGCACCTAGCAGGCCTTATTTCTGGTCATGCGACGAAGCGAAACACTTGCAAAGGACATGAAAGGCAAGTGAGTCAGATCTTATATAACTTATTTATGGTCAATGTGAAGCGCAGAAAAACTAGCATCATACCCGACCAAATTACCTATAAGTCAGCTGCTGGCAATTGCTGTCCTCTGATTTTGTAGGTCGTGCTGTGGACCGTCCCTGGTTGCTGTCAACGCAATAGTCGGTGGAATTCTTGCACAGGAAATAATTCAGGCAAGTTCTCAAGCACAGTACTTCCTCAAATATGTTCTCACCGCATATTATTGGTGGTTGGAACTCACCCCCAGACGACATTATGAGGTCATGACCACACAACCCTAACGCCCAATGTCACAAGTTTACCTTGAACTGATTCAGATCGTCTAGATGTATGCAATAGACCAGGTTAACCCGATTGTGTGAATCTTTATTCAATAACAGGAGGCATTTTGCGCTGCATAGTTTGGCCATGGAGGTAAAGTAAAAACACTTTCGAATTTGCAGCCAAGTGCATTGTTGTCGGTTAGATACCGGCGACACCTTACCCAACCCAATAGGAGTTGGGTTTTGCAGGCCCCGATATCGGCAATCCTTCTTCATGCTCAGCGATCAATCAGGTGTCCACAACAGACAGGCTTCATAAAATTTACGGGGTAATTCCCACTAAATTTTAACTCGTCGCCTTGCTCACTTCTTTGCAGCCACGACCTAGCTGACACAGCCATCTACTGCCTCAACCGCAGCTACATTGGCGGCACTTCCGA